AGTTTTTGATCTCACTAGTGATGTTCCAGTGTAAACATTACAGGCACGTATTCGAAATGTGTCAAACTATACTTTAGGTGGCACACGGCGTGACAAAATAATCTCTAGTTGGATTACACTTAGAACGGTTGACATTTCTTAAAAGAGGCGAATAAGTCATTGTCTAAATTGGAATTTATTCTTAGTATAAATCATCTTATATGTCTTTTCTAAGTCTAATACCGATTGAAGGTTTAATAATCTTAATATGCAACTGACGTAACAACTGTCATCTAATATATTATTATCTATAATAATATATTTGAATGCGCCAAGTGACCTAAAATAAGCAGAATGACAGAATATTAGAATTTTGCCTACCTGAAATTATATGACAGATATAGGAAACAACTAGATCAGTAGAATTGATACTAACATAATAATTCATATTGAATAGTTTATATATAAACATAAGTATACTAGCAATCCAATATATATATATTGCAATAGCATTGTTTTATACTTATTTTATACCTACATACTATATACAATAGTATACGTCTATCAGTCATGAAATTATACTTTATGCTAAATATCATAATAGAAAAATATAACGATTTATACAAACTTCATAGTTATTTGATCATAAACAGTTAAAATAATAATAATCCTACCGTAAGACAAAGGCAGTGAATAACAAATTTTAAAAGTCACATTAATTCAAGCGAAACAACAAAATTATACAAAAGTAATAATCTCATAAATCATACTAAGATATAACAATGTTCATAAATAATTCTCAAACAAGAATAAAAGCATTAAATTCACTGTTGGAAAACGAATAATGCGGTAGATAATATGAGGACCATGTCGAGTGGTAATTTGTCACTCAGTTGTGACATTGTCGAAGATTCTATTGTCTCTACTAGCATAATCAACTGTTAACACTCCCAGCACTATTCTAGCACGTAGCAATACTATTTCCAATTAGAAATATTACAGACATTATCGAAAAAACTCAATACTGAACATTTTGTTCTAAAACATAAAGTCTCATTTTCAAAACCGAACGATGTCAGTTATTTCGTAACACTAATCGGCTCGTCATTAAAAAACGCTCAGAAAATAAAATAAGAATTTCGAACGTGAAGATTGAATTGTTTTCTAGTTTTAAAACAATGGCTTAGATATTTCTGGATTTGTTAACGAAAGTGACAGGTGCTGATTTGTTAGTGATTCCTCGAATACCAGAATAGTGGGGGCCGTCAAAACAACGGGTCTTAATGGAGTGAGACAGCCATTGTTGTTGTATTATGTTGCCGCTAATTCTCTAACAAATATCTCGGTGTCTTTCGTACGGATTTCTTCCATTAATTTGCGAGCTTTTAATTTAGTATACCGAAGAATTCAAACACTAATGTAAATAAATATCTCTACGAATCATTTGTTACACGAAAAACGATTTATTTCGCGTCCATTGTTATCTATTGGAAATTCTTTTGTAAGTCTTGTACAATGTCAGTGTGTTTAATGTACACATTTATAACTACGTAACTAAACAGATATGTTTTTATAACTAAGCTTTGGCATATTTAGAAAAAACGATTCAAGAAAATTATCACATTATAAGCATTCTGTAAAATATGACACAACCATTATTCGTTTTGGTACTTCTTATATGATATAACAGCCGTTAACGTCATTTTATTATTATTTACAGCGCTGGTAACAATAAAGTTTAAATTTACAACACCATGTAGACACGCCTCACTTGCTTTTAAAACAATAAAAGATAATAAAGTAGAATGATTGTCTTAAAAAAGTTCGAGTCTAAAATACGCTCGCCGCAGTCTATCGTTTATAATCGTTAAAATTGTCACCGCTATAAAATAGCCAGTTATTGTTTAAATAAACAATAGCCGACCGACAATAAAGAGCTGCAGAATAGCCCACAAAACGACATTGTGACTGACGTGTGAAAATGTAGACTAAACAAGCCGCAGACTGGCCAATATCAACTAGATAATAGTCGTCTCTCAACGATATTGGAATATACTTGTACCAAGTATATTGAGAGTTATGAAAAAATATTTATTAGATTTAATAGGAAATAGAAAATAATAATTATGTTGGATGTAGTTGATTATTGTTTTTGATAACTATAAAAGAATTAAGTCTGCCAATATATTTGTTAAGTATAAATTTGTTAACGTTAAATTATTTGGACGCAATAATGACGTGAATTCTAAATAGGTATATATTATGTTTTGGAAAATACATATTACTTTTTAATATATTCTTGATATTCATTTATTATATTTTTAATGATGATCATGATCATTTTATTTTGAGTAATTTTACAAGGATTCAACAATTAAATGTAATGGATTTTACCGACACTGGATAATGGAACAATTTTTTTGATGCAAAAGGAAAAGAAAAAGTTCTCATTATTAATGATATGATAAAAATGTCGCTGAAGTATTGATTAAATAATATATTTTTTATTTACCAACTGTTCCATCTGTGATCAGATACATACTCTTTGACTAAACTAAGAAGGCGGTCTCTCGACGAAAATAGCCGTTCAAAAATATTGAAGAGCGTTGAAAAATAGACGTCAAACGTATATGAGAATAATAAGATGCGACGACAAACACTCAATATCTGGGCCAACGTTTCTCTCCGCTTTTGAAATCTGTTGCTTAATTTTTACTGTTACTTTAATAAAGCCGCATAAAGTCGATATATAAGGACAATATAAGTGGCACTGATCATCGAGAGATATTGTAATTATATATATATTTTATATAATTGGAATGGTAAACGAGTTGCGACAACCTATCTGATGGTATCTGGTAACAATCGTGTATATACATAACAACATCATTTCTTTTTATAGCATAGGGAACCAACGAGCATACGGCACACCTGATGGTAAGTAATTAGCGCCGCCTATTTTTAAGAAGGAATAAACTCTGTTCTTGTAGGTTTCAATATCGTATCGGTTTGGAAATGCCATTACTGGAAGGTGATTCTACAATGTGGTTCTCATATACTACCATTACATGGGTCTAACATATACTCTGTTATTTTACTGTCTTATCTCTTCTTTCAATCAGTAAACATCTTACAAACCAGTCTGGCGGAATAGGTGATGCAGATGCGCTGTGTAAAAAGTCTACCTTAATAAATGTACCTTGGTATTAATAAAAAATGTGAAATATTTATATTATAGGTATGTATGAGTATTGTGCCCGCTACTATGACTTATGATAATTGAAATTCATCAATCAGTGAGTGTACTGTATATCTAAATACATAATATATGCTTGTACTTTTATTTTATTATTATTGGAATGTGAGAATAGATTTACTTCTTTATTTGTCTGTTACATCCTAACATCTTTTAAGACACGAAATTTTCCAGTTTGCAGAAGTTTTATTCATGGAGGTTAAATTTTTTTCAGTCAATTAATAAGCATTTATTTATGAATATGAACGTGGTCCAGCTACTATTACAACTCTGATAGGTTATGATATTATATATAGGTAAATTATTATCTATCAAAATATGGGTAAATTTTTATTTTCGATTAATTCGCGGTCGATCGTAGCGCCAATAACTAACCAAATTATTTCAATCCTAGAGACGGAGATACGCTCGTCCCAAACGTTAAATTTAAATACACTAAGCGAAATGTCCATGATAGTATTGTTTTCTTAACTCCATCGTCAGACTACCACATTTAGTATTACCGGTATGAATGCATATAAATATAAAAGTGTTTTTAAATAGTTTCATCTTATTATATACACAGATAACACAACATACAGACGTAAATCCAATTATATAACACAAGCTTCTCCGTAAACATATATCAAAAATACTCGTAATAGTAACACAGAAATAGCGGATTCTATAAAAAGCATTTTTTTACAATAATTATAATGACGGGTGTAACCATGGGTTGCGCGTGCGCATGCCGCCTACGCGCAACTATTTGCGTCAACGACCAACAATTGTCACTATCCGTCATAATATATTGCAATTAATTGCATTAATGCTATCTCATTGCTGCTACAACAATTATTTAGTATGTACAGAAGTACTTCTCTATACTCACGGGCAGTATGCCCGCGAGTAAACAATTTAATACTTTGTCATTATGATATTGTTGATTAATATGCTGAATGGTTGCTTTAGATACCTAAATTTATATATGTGTAAAAAAAACATTTAATAACCACTATACCTAAATATTTTATACATGTTATTGTTACATGTTCGTAGTGTTCAGATATTACTGCTGAAACCCTTAAGCAAATGTATTGATATATTTACTTAAAGCATATTATTGTAATACTATTTAAAGTATAGTCCTATTTTTAGGTAAATCAAATGATCTTATAGTGCTAATTTGCCTAATAATTAACGATGAAAAATCAAATTTATATTATTTAATGTTTATTGAAAGAACTAAAAATTACTTTCAGAAGCATACATTCAACTTTAAATGTACAAAGTTTGATACTCGTAACTTTGGTAGTTAAGTTAATGCCTTCATACCCTATCCACAATATATTTACAATATTTCTTATTTATTAAATCCAATATTAAGTTTATAATGACATCGATAGTTGACAATGTATATTAAATACAATTAAACAATCTTCAATACTAATGATTACTCTAAAAAATTTATGTAAATGCAATAATCAGTTTAATCACTATCATGATATATAACTAGTAAGTATAAAATAAACTAGCTATTTTTGCCTATCTGGTTCACCGTTTATTTCTTTTACTGTTGTGGATTTAGCTCTCTCGTCAGGTAAGTTTTGGTAATGAAAATAAAGTCTTCTTAATGTATTCGTGTATATTTTTTAGACGGCCATGACAATACAGTTTTTATAGAGGGAAAAAAGCATAGACAAAAAAAATTAAAACATAGAGGTTGGAGAATAGTGTTGACAGCGTATAAAATGGAACATGCCCCCGGACGTTGAAAGCTTGCCTTTCAACAAGAAGTGTCGATCAGAGGGCAAATCTTGCTGAATGATCTTCTGACTACGCCATTAGAAGTCTTCACATCTGCAACGCGATTAATGCCATCGGTCCCGGGATAAACTGCAACAATGCGGCCCATTTTCCATCTTAAGGGAGGCAAATTGTCCTCCTTCACAACCACCAAACTATTCAGCTGTAAATCTGGTTCCTTAGAGTACCATTTGCTCCTTTGCTGTAGTTCACTGACATATTCCTTAGACCATCTGGCCCAAAAATGTTGGCGTAGTTGTTCTAGTCTTTGAAATCGATTTAGATGTGTTAAAGGGCGGCCTTTATGATCAGCAACTGGAAGTGCAGTTAGCGGTGTTCCTATCAGAAAGTGGGCTGGCGTAAGCGGAGACAAATCATTTGGATCATCTGAGAGAGGCGTAAGCGGTCTTGAATTCAGAATTGCTTCAATTTGAGTAAGGACTGTGATCAATTCCTCGAATGTTAAATTACAATTGCCCAATACTCTATATAAATGATGCTTAATTGCTTTAACACCGGCTTCCCAAAGACCCCCAAAATGAGGAGAATAAGGGGGACATAAATGAAAAGAGATACCCTCATTAGCCAAACCATCAGCCAATGAACTGCAGTCATTCTTTAAAAATTTATTTATTTCATTGTAAGCACCAACAAATGAAGTGCCATTATCAGAGAAAATGTCCGTAGGTTTTCCTCTACGTGAAATAAATCGACGTAATGCACATAAGAAACTATTGCTGGTTAAATCACCTACTAGTTCAATATGAATAGCCTTCGTTTTAGAGCAAACAAAAATTGCGATATATACCTTGACAATTTTACATCCACGGCCTTGACGGCTTGCAGATGAGATAGGCCCTGCATAATCTATGCCTACACATTCGAATGGACGACCTGGAGTTATACGTGATTCAGGTAAGTTTCCCATAAGGGGGGATACGGTTTTCCCTTTCATACGTGTACACCTTATACATTGATAATATGTAGATTTAGCCAAACTACGACCTTTTATTGGCCAATAAGCCTCCCTAATAGACGCTAACAATAGCTGTGGACCGGCGTGCATGAGCTTAATATGTTCTGCTCTAAACAACATCCTTGTAAAGGGATGAGTGGACTGTAATATAGCAGGATGTTTTTTATTATATGAGAACATTGACGCATTTGTCAACCGGCCCCCTACGCGCATTATTTTATCATTATCCATGAATATGTTAAATTTGTTTAATTGGCTCTTTAAAGGTAAGGTTTGTGTTTGCAAGAGAGTTATATATTCTGGAATAGATTCTATTTGAGCAATTTTAATTATTAGATTTAATGCAATTTCTAATTCTGATGGATTAAGATGAGTAGTTTTTGGCTTTAATTTTCTGCAGCCGTTAATAAATCTAAGTGCATATGCTACAGCGCGTTTCAGGCGCAATACATTTGAAAAACGACTAAAATCGATTAACTTGTAATTGTCAAACTTGGTGATATGTAGCGAAATTTCAGGTCGAACTTCGGGAAGTTGCGAACAATTAAGTGGATTTAGAGGCCACTGAGACTCCTCCTGCTTTAAAAAAGGGGGCCCAGACCACCACAGGTCGAGCTCCTGCAACTCACTAGCCTTGACACCGCGAGAGATATGATCAGCAGGATTTTTGTCAGTGGGTACATGTCGCCAGACACTGTGCTCGGTTTTTTCCAAAATTTCTACAACTCGATTGCGGACAAACGGTTGTAGTTTATTCGGTAACATTTTAAGCCACCCCAGTACAATTGTAGAGTCAGTCCAAAAAATGGTACGTTTAACATTTACTCTGAGGGATGACATTACCTTTTCATAGAGACGCACTCCGACTAGAGCGGCACAGAGCTCAAGTCTGGGGATCGTAGTTGGCTTTATTGGAGCGACCTTGCTCTTGGCTAAGAGCAACTTCACCAAAACATCACCCTGTTTGTTAACACTTTTTATATAAAGACAAGCACCATAGGCACATTGGGATGCGTCGGAAAAACAATGAATCTCAATAAGTGAATATGAATCACAAACAACCAGGCGTGGGATATAGATATTATTTAATAAGGGGAGATCCCGTATAAATTTATGCCAGCTGTGAGAAATATCAAACGGAACCAGTTCATCCCATGACAATTTATGCAACCACAGATGCTGCATCCAAATTTTTAGAGATATGATACAAGGGGAAATCAGACCCATGGGATCGAATACCTGGGCGATTACTGATAGTAATTCCCGCTTGGTCGAAACTTTAGGTAATTCCAAATTAATTTTGAAGTACAAGTTATCAGTATCAGGCGACCATCCCAGACCCAATGTCTTGCTGGGTTCAAATCCCATATTCAAATTAAGAGACGAGTTAGACTGGTCCGGAATAACAAGCTGAGACCCATTGGATTTCCACTTACGCAGCACCATTCCCGCGGATGCCAGCTCTGCCGTGATAGCTTTCTTTATATTTAAGGCCTCCTGGTTGGAATCAGATCCCGTTAATAAGTCATCAACATAGAAGTCATGAATAATAATTTCAGACACTTTTTTATCGTTGCAGTCAAGGCCAATTTGTTTTAAACATCTAGTAGCTAGATAACTGGCACTTGAGCAACCATAAGTGACAGTGTTGAGTTGATAGGCTTTTACTTCAGATTCCTCTGGTTTACGCCATAGGATTTGTTGAAGATGCCTGTCATCAGGGTGAACAATCACCTGCCGATACATTTTTTCTACATCAGCAGCTAACACATATTTATAAAATCTAAACCGAAGTAAAATAGAGAGCAGGTCGTCTTGGACTGTTGGTCCTACCATTTGAATCTGATTAAAGGACACCCCTGAGGAAGTAGGGCTACTTGCATTAAAGACCACTCTAAGACTAGTAGTGGTGCTGTTTGCGTTCAACACCCCATGATGAGGAATAAAATAAGATGTAGAATCAATATTTAATTTGCACTCGGTCATGTGTCCGAGTGAATGATATTCTGACAAGAATGCAACATAGCTATCTCGAAAGGCTGGCTGGGTTTTAAACCTGTACTCTAATGAATGCAAGCACCGTTTTGCTCGCTGAAATGAGTTACCTAATACCTTATGAGACTGTTTTAAGGGAATTCTAACACAGAATCGTCCATTTGGAAGACGGATTGTATTTTTTACAAAGTGTTCTTCACATCTTTGCTCTTCTTCTGAATAAGAGGACTTAGAACCTACATCCTCCAACTGCCAAAATTTTGATAATAGACTCTGAACATCATTATTTTCAATATTGCTATGAGTACTTGTATCGAATGTTGTGAGGTTGCATCTAAGAGAAGACTCCTGTCCATTATAAAGGGGTCCTGAAACCAACCAACCCAGTCGCGTCTCCCAGAGAATCGGTTTTTTCATTCCTAAACTTATTTTTCGTGATCCGAGTAATTCCCAGAATATATTACTACCAATTATCATGTCTACTGCAGACGCGACTATCACCGCTTTATAGATTTTGATTACGGTTTTCAGTACCATTTCTTCAGGCTCTCGTCCGCAAGGTCATTTATACGACATCCTCCATATATACTGTGTACGCTATAGTAAAGTCTATGAAAAATGTATGGTACGGTATATATTCGAAGCCGGTGTTGATCGTTACTGTGTTATAATTTTCAGTCGAAAAATAGTGACAAAAAATAAAAAATGTATATCTAATTATATGAAACCAAATTAGAAACAAAGATGTGAAGTTCAAAAGTTAAAAACATCTGTCAACACGTAATTGAAATACTAGTGAAGAGGCAGCCAGCAAATGAGAAAAGTAGGTGAACAATTTTTAAGTCAACAAAACACGTTTCTATATTTTAAACTCGGCCGAATTGAAGAGCACTCAAAATTTGACACAAGTCAGAACGGAGCCAAGCGTTAATAAGCAAAATGTCAAATGGTTGAAATGTTAATTTTGTGAATGTCAAAGGTCCCAGTTTAGGGAAGCTGTGCAGTTGATATTGACCAAGATATATTGCTACTAGTCGACGTGACCTGTACCCAGCCTCACTGATGGACTTATTGCCCTGTCTATCCAATGATTGACATTTTTATTGTATGTCATTTGACCATGGGAAACTGTTGTTTTATTACAATGTTAAGTTAATTTGCAATATAAAATACGTTATTAGTTTATAGCACATTATTCTAGATTATTATATTAATTTATATATTAAATAGTGTTAATAATACTTTGATATTCATTATTTCTTTTATGTGAATTTTTATATTTTTTATCTGATTAGATTAGCATCGTTTACCCTAGTAAAATGCTTCATTTGTACTACATATGTTATTGGAATTAGGTAATTAAGAAATCATCCATCATTACAATTCTATAATTAAGTATTATTTCAGAATATTCCATTAACTCTACCTGGAGCACCATAATTTATCAACTAAAACTCAACCATCCCAGATACTCTTTACTTAGCCAACCTATACAAACATAAGATTACGAAGCAATGTATAAAACACTTTGCAAATAAAGCCAAACTATCTGCACTGTTTACATTAAATCTATCGTGTTGCAAAGCAACTGAAATTATGTTTGATTTTACCCTATCTCGACCTATGACCCCAGTGTTGTAGAAAACGATACTACAGCGTTAATAGTACCAATAGTATTACCGTAATATTGCGATGATACTGAAGTAGTGATGTCACGAATCTGTCTGTTGGCTAATGGTGCCTATACATAAGTTAGTGCACGGAAAATAGAAAGTTACTAAAGGATATGTATATATATATATAATAATGTATATACATAACAAAGTTCTATAAGGACAAAACTTTAACTGCATGCATCAAAATCAGAGTAAGAGCACAGTATACGCATATACGCAACTTTAAACAGTACAAAACATTTTTTAATTACTTTGTACGCCAACAGTATAGTAAAACTCATATGAAAGCTGGGCTTTAATTGTGTGCGTCTTAAAATAATTGTTCACTAGAATTTTTCATACCTATTATGCCATTATATGTTTCACCCACGGATTAATATACCAGACTCCAACTATTCTTATCCTTCACTAGTATCTTGGTAGCGTAACACTATTCCCAAGTAGTCGTAATGATATTAGATATGAAATCTAGTCTGGATGAATAGCAATCCTCCACCGAGCCTTTTTCCAGAAACTTTTTGCTAGACACAACCACATTGTGGAATCACTTTCCTGCAATGGTATCTTAGAATGGATACGATATTGAAACCTTATATATGTAGTCGAAGAGCAGCTAGAGGTATACCAGCGAAATCTCTCCACAGTCGTCTAAAATATCTTGGACTACCTAGAACTGCTGTAAGTTATGTACTTGAACGTGTATCTAAAGCAGCACTAGCAGGCTCCTTTCAGATTTGGTGGGACAGAAAGAGATACACCAGCGGTGAAGGTGAATGTTGACGTACTTCCTTAAACCTACACCCGGGTCATAAATCCCGGGAACTGCTCGGAGTTTGTCTTTCTGCCACAAGATTGACCCTGCACCCACACCACATGGTGAATCCGTGGAATGTTGAGATATTTTTTTGTATCTACATATGATACAAAAACAAACCTTTTGAAATTGTAATAATCATAATAATATACTAACTATTTAAAACGACCACAATCGTGCTATCAAATTTCAAATACATTATTCGACTGATGACAAAACTCCCAAAGTGTCAGGCTGGCGGTAAATTTAGTGCAACCAATTTATAATATAGAAACGGATCGCCCTATTATTCACGGAATCCAAAGCATAGCAAATTATCATTATGGGCTAGTGGTTGAGTGTTTCCGCGGTACATTAGCTGGATTTGTTGTTGATATATGATTGCTTGGGTTTTCTTTATGTTCCCACATTTATAAATTATTTTACATTCAGCTTCTTGTTTTCGATATGCAGTATGTTCAAATGAGATAGAAATATAGTTTTTTTTATACTACGATCGTGGCATTCAAGTATACGGCCTATCTAATGGTAAACAGTTACCGTAAGCTATGGACGATTGAAACACCAAGGATCTCACGTGCGCGTTGTCGACCCTTAAGAAACCTGAATATACCCTTCATGCAAATTCCATGAAATCTGTTACTATGTTGGTAATAGGTACTACTGATATGTACAATATCAGTAGTACCTATTACCAACAAAGGGCAGAAGACTATTAGTAATGGGGACCCTTGACCCTGTTACTAGCTATATACCATGACATATGTTTTTTTTTGTAATTGGAATGGGACACAATCTAACAGCCCATGATGGCAAGTGGTAACCGTCGCTTATATACATAATCAACATATATTTTAGGGAGAATACCATGATATTTTCATGGTATTCGTATATCGTTAATTCCTAGTGAAATTGTCTTTTAGTGAAATTCTACTTACCTACCTATCTTCATTCTCATTCCAATAGTTATCACTACATTCACCCCAAGAGAGAACGTTAGTACAAGCTTTAACATCATTTCATTATCATGTACTAAAATAAGATATTTGTTATTTTAATAAGGCAAAATATATACCTCTACCTAGTTTTTGATACATTTTTATTGTGCACAACAATGGACTTTGTGTATGTTTTGTTTTTGATATTTTGCTAATCCAATAAGAAGTAAAACTCATTGTTTCATTATAAATAGATCTTATCGTTAACATCATAATAAACACGTGGAGTGTATTACGCGTTACTTTTTTCACCATAACGAGTATTTTTTCCCATAAAGCGTCACTAATAGCCGCGACTGCGCGCGCGCATCACCATCCATCACCGCGCGTGAGCCGCAACAATCTTGTTTATAGGAATGTTAACCGTGTTTATTTCTATGGACTTTTTGATACAGGAGGAAAGAAAATGGTTCTATATAATTTTTCATGACATAACAATTAAAACTTGGTATGTTGGCGATGGGGAGAGGGGGAGAGCCTGGTAGTAATGGTGACTTAGTGGTATAGATTATGGCTGCATTGCCATGCAATGTCAGGTTGATATCCACTCGGTCCTCCCTTGCATACTTGTTAACTAGGTATTTTTTATTCCTGGGCGAATTATTCCAATGCGCCAAATAATCTAGCGAGAATTTTAATTTACAAATATTATAAACTATGATCGGACGTTACTAATTAGCACTGTTCCATGGGCCCTGTCATATGCCACCTTTACCACCACACCTCCAAATATCTATTAAAATCCACTTGTAATTCTTTACAATAATACTATTGAGTCGCGCCTTTCGGTGAAATGAGTCGGCCCCACAGATAATTAATTTCAGCCAGACTAACCCATCTAGGCCTTTTGTATCAAATTATCTAAATCAATATCCCATCCCTACAAAGTGACTCACTACGACTTCGTCTTCTCTTTGAGATAAAAGATAACCTATATTTGTTTTCGCGGCATAATCTATATTCCGCGATACGAATCTTTAACAATTATACGATACGTCCAATTGTTTAAGATTCGCTCAGCTGTTTTATCGTGAATAGGTAACAAATATACTAAAAGTCCGACATATTTTTGCATTTATAAAATTAGTATGGATCACGACAATACGCTCGTCGTCTATAACTATTATTTCTTTCTAATATAGATTAGAAAGAAATAATAGTTATAGACACCAGGTTTCCAATCTATGTGCGATCCTTGCCTGATGATGTCTCGTTTTGAGGCGAAATACGTGTTGCAATATGGGTATAGATTCAATAACGGAATGTGATCACTAATAGAAAAGATCATAACACTTCCAGTAGCGGTGATCTGAATTCCGCAACTGAACATTGGTGATCACCCACATACTAATGGTAGCGGATTTAAACATCCATTAAGTAATAAAATGGAGTTCCGTAAAACAACACCTAAAAAATAAGTTATAATATTCATAATTTTGACTGCATCCTGTAGTGAACAGAGCAGTATACTGATAAACACAGGGCGCGCCGTGACAAATGGTAACAGAGTGTTTTTATATATTTTTAGAAACAACAGCGGTGTGCTGCTCACTGTACTAATTGGACTAACTGTACTTCTTTGTATATATATACGAATTATGTTTAACGATTATTGGGTATTGGATAACAATAAATAAAATTAAGAAAACGCCATCTAGTCCCAAGCTAAGCAGATTTGCATTATGGTTTACTAGACAACTAATAAAAATAGTTAGATACATTTTTTTTGTAAATACATCCATAATATACATAGGAAATACTCAGACCTTGTGTAGGTCATGAATGCAAATTAGTACGAGGAATCGTTTCGGCGACCATCAGCAGTGAAGCGGTATACTAACTAGTGGTTAGTTACCATCGAGCAAATAATCAGATTTTAAACAACTTCCAAAAAGAATCTAACCTAAATCTAAAGCTTATGTATTTTATACCTTGTATGATACCATAGTTCTATGCAATAGCAACGCATGAGTGTTACCATGGGCATCA